GGTCCATAAGTGCTAGAGCACAGCAGGAACAGTATTATTTTAACTTTGAGTGAATTCTCAATGAATCATTTGTGCTAGGTGTATAATACCTCTACAAGTGGCGAAACATTTCGTCAATCAGTCTACTGTATTGCCTGTTTACAGAATGAATGATTTTTATAAACGTACAATTATTCTTGTTACTTGTACTTGTTACTTCGGCTGTAAGTTTCTTTTTTTGTGCGCGTATGTTACTGAGATATGAGAACCACGTCGTACTTTTTACATTTACCTAAAAATACTGGTGCACCATCTTGCATGCATGTATTTACAGGACTATGGAAATCCGGATTCGTCTGCAACATACTGTGTTACTGGCGTGTGCAAGAGTCATATATCAAAGTAGAAACTTTGCTACTTTAAAACCTAACATAGAACAACAGTAAGTCCTCGAAATTTATACGTAGTGTAACGATACCTATATTTTACAAGTACATAAGCTAAAGCATTGTTCATTTGAAATCCTCTTTAATGTACAATAACAAATAACATTGCACACGAATGTAGTGATTTTAGCGTACAATTACAGAAGCCAGACTCTAGTGAGCTTTAAAGGAATATATTGTGGTGAACTGGCTCTCAACAAACCTCACCTCCCGCTATGATAATGTATTGAGTCAAGTGCAAGATGAGATAAGTACTTCATGGTGCCTTTTTTCACTTTCGTGATTAAAAAACTGTTTTCGGGAAAATTATTATGCAAGTAAATAATTAATTATTTCTCATAATAACACTTTTTATTTTTGTTGAATTTCGTTTTGAAATAAATTCAAGCTTTAAAGTAACTTGATCAATGATTCTATTTCTATTAACAAAAAACAGCTATTTTAATAACAAGCCATCAAATATAATAAGGCATCTAAAGTATGGGAGAGCCATGTTTTGGTATGAATGGGCTGGTTTGACCGGAGCGATCGATACCACGGCCTCATAGAAAACCGACGTGAAACAACGCTTGCGTTGTCTTTCGTCGTGTGATTTAGGTTACCAATGGCCCAATTAATCCTCCTCTCCCCTAGTTCCAATCTTCCCAATCCCGAAATCCTTAACGATCCTCAAGTTCCTAATCCTCAAAAAGCAGGTTAAAGCACTTATAATGCTTGATACCAATTGTTTGACATCAGATGATCCGTCTGCTCGCTAACCGGCCTGTCCCATAAAAAAAGAAACCTCAAAAACGAACCATAATTTTTTTTAAAGCCCTGTATTTTCTTCAAACTAAGCAACAAAATACGATTCTACCTTCAGTGAGTAAAAGCCAACATGAAAAGGTTTCCGATATCAAACTGATGGAAGTGAAGACCCTTTCAAAGAAATATTTTGGGTGAAGTTGTATGCCTACCTGCTTTGGTCGCATTCGAAAGATTTTCCCCAGGGCTGAATGTCACCTCGTCACAATATTTACGATATTCAAGAACAATTTAGAATTCAGATAAGTACTTGTGTACCTTTTTCGAGTTCGTTTTTTCGTGTTACACTTTCTTTCTGATGTTTTTCGTAATGCGAGAAACCTGTTTTGTTGATGTTCAATGTTCTTTTGCGGTGTTTATTAGTTAGTGCTTAATTTTTAATGTGGTTTGTGTAGAGACTGATGGAATTACTAAAGTAGTATTTATAACCGACATTTTTATATGGGAATAAAATGCGATAATTCGAGAAAGGGAAATAATATGTTGAAAACCTTTTAATATAGCTAACTCGCATAAGGCATAATGATGAAAAAAGAAAAAGATCGGTCTGATAAAAAAATGTTCTACACCATTTTACTAAGTAATTTAATACAAATCATAGCAAAATTACATCAATCCGCAAATAATTTCTCTAGAATTCATTACAAGTGTGGGAGAGCCATGCTTCGGCACGAATGGGCCGGCTCGACCGGAGTGATACCACGGCCTCACAGAAAACCGACATGAAGCAACGCTTACATTGTGTTTCGTCGTATGAGTGAGGTTAACGGAGGCTCAATTACCTTCCCCTTCCCCAATCTCCCCAATCCCTGAATCCCCAACGATCCTCAAACTCCTAATCCCCAAAAAGCCGGTGACGCACTTGTAACGCCTCTGGCCGACGCCGATTGCTTACCATCAGGTGATCCATCAGCTCGTTTACCGGGTGTTAACAAAATACTAATTTTGTGTGAACGATGAGTATTATGTCTTACCAATTTGGTTTGGTATGAATCTTTGAACATATAATTAGAATTTAGTCATAAATTCAGAGATTAGTAATGATACTGAAACCAAGTACGTATAAATATTAATAATGTGACTTACTTGATAATGTTGTTAGAGGTTCTCGGTTAATCAGATTAAAGCTATTCTCTGTATTCCGTTTCACCACAATACCTCATTTGTAAATTAATTATTATTATTGCATATAGAGACCTAGTACTAATTTTACTTTATGTATAAAGTAATCGTATTGAGACCGCGTTTGGTTCTCTGATTGGCCAGCTCTGATGAACAAACCAATCAAAACGCCGAACCCGGTCTCATTTCGATTATTTTAAACGTATAACGTAAAAAAATAAATCATGTATAGATTTTATTATATACATGTTTTATTTATTTATTTTATTGACTTAATTGTTATGCACAAATTTTCATCTCATCAAGGTGGACTTAACGCCGCCGGCATTTTCTTCCAATCTTATACCATGTTATACTTAGATTCTAAAGACAGTCTTATACGTTAAGCCACGTTAAAGGAAAAGTAATGAGTTTATCTAACTCTTAATCCTGTTGATGTCCACTTTCAAGTCTGTTAATAAAGAGCCTCAGAATAAGATCATGATAAGTCGAGTGGTATAGTCGTTTTTGTCCAATTTTGGTAACAGGTATACAATATAGTAATTCAATTTTCAAAACAACTTGAAGTACACTTCAAGTTGTTTAAATAAATACGTTACAACGTATTTACGTTATACGTTATATACGTTACAACGTATTTACTGAATATAAAGCATTAGCTGTTGGCTTGCGAATTCGTCCGCGTAGAATATATCATTCCTGTTTTATCCCAATTAATAAACTTATCTAAATCAATTATAGAAACTTTCATATTTATAATATAAGTGTGATAATATACTTATTAGAACAAACATACAGCCAATTATTTAATAAAGTTTCTTAAAATAAAATGAAAAAAAAAACTCACCCCTCAGTTTCATTCGAAAATTCTTTACGAAGGTCGTCACAGTTGAAATGCGGGTAGATTAAAAAAGGGCTTCTAAAAGTGTCTGTAACGACCTAATTACTGAATAAAAAATTACTTTGACTTCCAGCCAAAAGCTGAAGGCATTGTTTTGGGTACGAAGAGTCTAAACTCGGTGTCTTTTTTCAATCTTTTTCGTGATAAGAACAATGGCAGATAATATTTCACAAAAAATATGATTTCGTCATGAGCGTCGTAAAAATGTCATTCTACGTCTCTCAACTCTGATTTAAAAATAAATTTGTTCGTAGGTGTATGTTAAAATTATGTGCGGGTCCATATCTTTCCGGGTATCGAAAAAGTGGATTTAAACAAGGGTTCCCTTTGATGTTTTAGGAAAGACAATGACTCCATAATAAGGGCTTATTTCAGTTGTAAAAATAATCTTTTTGTTAATAATGTTTTAATGGCCTTTTACTGGCTTGGGTAAGTTAATACCAATTTGAATTTTATTGCGTTAAATTGAGAGCGTAATATCGGTTTATTTTTTAGTATTGCCACATTAATTACTTTACGTTAGTAGATAACAATTATGTGAATCGGGTCGGTTCCTAGTCTCCTAGTCGAATAATGGGTTAAACTCGGGTAAGCGTACACACATTACGAATAACTATACGATAGTAATAGAAAAGGGACAATAGCATCCCAGGTATTGTTAATAGAAACATCAAAGGTTGACGTCTTTTACACTTTGTAGTCAGCTAAATAATTGATTTTCTGCATGGTCGATCTTTTTTCTCATTTTCTAACTGAAAGGTAAAGCTAATACCGTCCTCTTCGTACCTTTGTGTACAACATGAATCTCAGTATATTGCATTTCATGAGGTGTGTCTTTTCAAAGGGTTCATACGAACTGGGTGTTTTTGCTGATAAAACGATGTGTCCAAGGGTTTAGGTCGCAATTTTTTTGTTCTGAGAACAGTTTTTCTCTGAATAGAAATGCCAATGTTAGATCGAAAGTCAAGATAAATAGGCAGCTAGATAAGGCATGAATTACGGTTGTATTGGTTTATTTTGTCGAAAGTTGTGAAATAAAAACTTCGTAGGCATGGCAAAAAGAATGGCAGTAGATTTAACGTATATTTGAATTCCTCTATCTCGTTGCTTAAAATATATAAAAGTGAAAAAAAAAACATTTTGCTTCAATTCATCATCATTCATCATTTGGTCCGCTCTCCTCAGTGTAGTACTTCCTTTTTATTTGTAATTCAACTGTTGTAAATATTTGATGTTATTGATATAATGATAACATAGGATGAGTTTCAAATTAAAATGCCTCAAATATTTTAGTATAATGTTAAGTTTATTTTATAGTTTACAGTCATTTAACATAGTCTTTCTTTTGTTTACAGATGAGAGATTTGTGTATTATTAACAAAAATGTGCAACAACATATAAAATATCTTATAGATACGTCGCTATTTGGCTTCGCCTCACTTTTATCACTATATTTATATTACAAACAAGAAAAGTATCTATTCCTTATTATAAGAATCCAATAGCATTAACTGTACATCTTGTATTAAAATACACGTTAAATATAATATTTTTATTCTACAAATTACACAGATCTTCATCTTGTATGGTGAAATTTTGTTTGCCGCAATGAGATTCGTTATGTACAATCTACATCGTATTATTCTTACTTTAAGTAATTATTTTGTTTTAAAACTAAATTACACTTTGTGTTAACAAACAAAACAAATAATTGAAAATAATGTCAACAAAATTTATAAAAAAAAGATTTACGTCAACGGTAAAATTATAATATTTACACAATTTTAAAATTACATTTTCACGGCCAGTACTCCGTGATGTCACTCATAGCATACTAAAAAAAGTACTAAAAAATTTTACGACCATTTTATGCACCGTCGTGAATTACGCGATGTCACTTGTAAATCATCGGAATTTTTACAAAGCCACGTTTAATGTCTTAAAAAATGTTACTTCTCGACAAATCTTTCTCCTATTCGAATTTATATTACAACAGATTTAGAAGTTTTTTTTTTCGCTAGACTAGTTTATATGCATGGTATATTAACTTTAGTTATTCTAAGTCATGGTCGATTGTGTCATGAATACAAAGGTTTTATGACACAATAAAAATATTTTTACATTACTTCACATTCTTTGGTTTTTTGCAAAAGTTTTAAACATGAGAATATACACCACGTAAGTATCTGATATTCGGTGGATATAAGTACCTATCACTTTAAATCGTAATGAATTCTTGAATCATCTAAATACACAAATCTGGTTCTACTCCTAGCGAAATCTGTCTAGATTGTAATTTGTTTACATTCGGATTATTACTTTGATAGAATGATCAATTATATAACAATTTCAACAAATTTTGTTCTCACCGTATATCGCACTTAATACTTCTGAGGACCTAGAGCAAGTTTTTTTTAAGTCAAAGAGATCAACACATTTTTGACGTTTGGCGCTCTGATTGGTTACTCCAAATTTACCAACCAATTAGAAAGCTAAACGCTGTTATGTTTCAATCGCATTAAAACAAAAAATAACTGGCACTTAGTCCCCAGATCACATGCGACATTCATTAATTGTAGCAACAACAAAACTTTTTCTCTTTGCATAACATTTTCAATACCATAATTTGAAAGTATTACATGATCACGGATAAAATAATAGAAGAGTTGTGCAGGAAACAAAGGCCAAAACTCGGGGTTGCCAGAAAAGTGTTCCTTTGTTCCCTGTGTTGTGTTGTACAGCGGCTTGGTTCTCCCCTGATAAACAGAATGAAATTGTTAAAGTTTCTCAAAAGTTTACAATATGTCTTATCATCTTACACTATGGAACTATTTACAACATATTTGTCTGAAGACAATAAACTTCGTGATTTACAATGCCTAAGACAAATAAATAAATAATATGGCGTGACGCCATCTTGATTCTAAGTGAAGTTGTTTTGATATCTGTCAAAAGTATTAAATAATTTAGTTTTAAAACTTCAGAAATATAAAAGTGTCAAAGTCTTAATAGACTTTACATATATAGCGTTTTTTTAGAAACTTTGTATACTTTTACAATAAAAAAATATATATTTTATTTAACTTACCGATCAAAACGTGAACATTAATTGTGACTTGAGAATGGTTCTGTAGGTGACATGTATACGTCCCACTGTCATTCTGTGATGCTGAACTTACACTGATAGTAGCACTGTAAAGAAGATAAAATATTTCATCTGGTTTCTATTTGATTGAGTATTTTGAACTTTATTAACATGAATTAAGACCTACTCACCTCATATTCCTCCAAGAGACATTATCAGTGAAATCTTTCCCTTGTTTCTTCCAAAAAATTCCATAAATATTATTTTCTACTGGAGGTGTTGTAGGTTTCATAGTAGTCAGTTCAGTCGTGGTCTTCTCTGGTGCTTTCTTAGTTGTAGTACTTACGCTAACAGTTGAAGTAATCGTCGTAGTTTCGACACTCCAGCTTTTATTCATCATTAAATCTATTCTATTGAATATTGTACTCATTTTTGTTGTTAATTCTGTGGTAGTAGTTGTAGGTAGGGGTGTGGTTGTAGGTATAGGCGTCGTCAACGGGGCCTTAATAGGTATAGATGACACATATTGTTCTGATATGATACAAGACAATTTTATAGCGCTACCCGCTTTATAAAATCTGTCTTTCACATCATGTGTTTCGTCACCGTTTATGGATATTACAGGAGCTGCAAGAAAAATTATATATTTAATTTATGCTAACAACATTCTTCCAGATGTACAAGTTTATGACTTAAAGAAATTACAATTTTGATAACATTTTCCTTTTTTTATAATTTCTAAGTCCATGACGGACTCGAAATGTATGAATTATTTCCTCCACGGAGACTGGGAATATAATTACGTCCCGGTTATTTTCCAGGAAAAGCACAAACAGGACTTCAAGAGGCTAATAAAAAGTTTACTACTTTTTTAAGATCTCACCGTTCCATTCTCTTTGACAAAAAAAAAGTGGGAAATGTAGGCAGAGAAGGTGAGCTAATAAATCGAAATAAATACTTTAATTTGTCTGAATTCACATAAATAGTCATGGAACGACGTCATTAAGTGCTGTTACATGCAAATGGAGATTAAGGATATTTTGGGGAATTTTTCTCGGGCTTACCTTAAACGGTAATATCAAAAGCGATTAAGACGAATGAAATGGCGTGCCAAAAAACAGAGGCAAAGGAAAAGGTAATGTAAAGAATAAAAGAGAGCTTTTCAATCTCTTAAATAATACAAACAATAGGACGGCTTAATTAAACGCTTTTGCAAAAGATAAAGACAATATACTAATGAATAATTTATTTGTTTACTTACGTAAAACTGTGAGGTTTGTGAATATCGTTCTTGGGGGATGTGTGGATATTTGGCACATATAGTGACCAGCGTCTGTCAACTTCACTGGATTCATACTGAGTCTCCAGTTGTTTGGGTATTGGAACTTTACTGCTATCCTATTGTCGCCGGCGTATAAAGCTGGACCAACGGTGAGGAGTTGTGCAGACTCCGTTGTGTTTCTTAACCACATCACCTGTACCGAAAGGAGCAGTAAAAAATATGTATTTTATGAATATTCTTTTTATGAAATTTTCAGTCCCAGTTTCCATGTTGTGTATTCAAAAGTATCATGTAATATCGGCTATAATTCGAACCATTGCATTATCTAATCGCTTGTATTACACACATACACACATGGTATTTCTTTTGCATATTTGTTGGTTTCGAAGTAAGAGCTACATCATTTTCTTTAAAAGCTAAATAGTAATATGAAAAAGAACTCTTTTTTAATCAGTAGGTAATGCAGTGAATTTTACTTCTACGTCACATTCAGTATTCGTTTAACGAAGGCCCTTGTATAAATTATAGATATCCCACAGCTTTTGATTTACGGTTCATTAGAGAAGTTAATTCTAAGACCAAAATAATCATAAAGATAGAAATTAGAAATTCTTTTTCTGTTCGAAACGAATTGAAAACGAAATTTTAAGTACTTGATCTTAGCAATGAGGATAATCATTCACTTTGAAGTCCTGAATGATGGGAGGGCAATGACCGGGTTTCAAAGATCTTTATTCGATAAAATTTGATCCTTTTCTTACTACATTTCTAAACTTAATTTATTTTAATTTTCTTCATCATTAAAATTATGCTAACTAAGAAATAATTTTAATATTTAGCATAATATACGCATTTTATTTATTTAGATATATTTTATACTGAACAAAATAAACACTTCTAAAAGAATGGATGTGCTAGTAGAAGTAATTTTCATAAGAAATACTTTAATGTTCATTCGTTTAGGCAATTCACGAAAAGATCAACTTTCCGCTTCAATGAAACGAAATTGATATAATTCTAGGAAGAGTGCCGTATCATTTCAACGTAACAAAAATTATGTAAATAATTTTATCTAATATTTTCAGATCAAATATCAAAAGTATGAATGATGTTACATTTATAAAAAATCAAGAAAGGTGTTGTGCGTGTTTATAAAACAGAAAATATTGTACAAATGAAATATTTCCGATTTAAAAGGCCCGTTGTATTATCGATCTCACCTTAAAGTCATAGTACAATTAACCGATACGACTTCGGTACGACTCCAACTCAATAATTAACTTCTCATTTAAATTTGGACGTTACATGTTATGTCATATGACCTATTTCAAAACGTCAATATATAAAAAGGTGTTAGAGCATCGCCCGCGCGCCGACAGCGCACCGAAAGCGCACCAGCAGTGCACCCACAGCACGCCGACATTGCGTTTTCAACCTTTTTATATGGAACTTTAGAATCGATTATTATTAGCCACATTGATACCGATGTAAATATCATTCAAAAAACTAACAAATGACACGTTTAAAACTAGCTAAAATAGGATCAAAATATTAATATAAAATATTTACCGTTTTGTCCTTGAGCATGACGACTCTACAATTCAACAAGGCCTCCGCCCCAACATGGGCCGTCACTTGGGTGTACTTCTCTTCCTCGAAGTACGGGCCCCAATGGTGCTCATGATGATGATCATGGTAACTCTGGTACGGCACATAGGGACGAGACTCTTCTACCTTGTCTGTTGAGCAAATTATATATAATAGAAATATTTTGAGTATTTAATATTAAACACTCATCTACTATATTTATATTTTAAAATGTTGAACAATGTTTTACTCAGCTATCACGTAATGTATAAACTTATGATTGATGTATAAAGAAAACTTTCGCATGCAAAAGCAGTTAAGTAAAAGCATTTGTGATGTGTAGTAAAAGTATACTTTATAGTTTATATAATCCAATACTCAAATGTTACACAACTTTATACTGTAACAAGTTACAGACTGTGAACCATTTAAGTGTTACTAAAAGTTGTAGTTGAGTATTAGATTAAATAATTTTGTTTAACATAATTTAGCATAATTTTGTAAATATTTACATTAATATTTGAAATGTGATTTAGTGCGCAAAAACAGTGAATGTGGTGTATTAAAATAATTTATTAGGTTATAATTATAAATTAAATTAAATAGTTGCCAATAACTAAACAAACAGGTTCAAAACAAATGTGCCAATTACAAATACAATTTTCATAAAACTATATTATTATAAGCTGTTTTGTAACAGTTTTGTGTAAATATGTAAGTAAAAATAATAATTAAATATTATTAGAATGTTCCCAAAATTGCCACTAATTTGTAACAACTTTTGTAATAAATTGTTTATAGCTATTCAGGGAGCGATTAAACAAGAAATGCAAATTACTTTGACAAAGATCGTGGTAAAATATGTTACTATAGGAATTTAGATTAGCTTAGTTCCAAGTCTTTCCGAAAGATTTCTAATAAATTATACTGTAACTCGTTTTACGTAACTCTTAGGACTATTGTTTAGATGAAAGTCTTTGCAAAAATGTAGTTATCTTCGTGCAGTTTCGTAACAAACTGATTTAATACTATGTGCGTCTTTGACGGTAACCGAATATCTTCCTATAAGACAAGGAAGGCCATATACACACCCTTGGGGAACATAAATACCCCGTCGAAAAAGGTAGGCTACGCCTAACTTAGCGTATTACATTTGAATAATATATTAACGATAAATACATTAAATGTAAAGTTATCGGTAACTTTAATTCTAAACCTTATTTAAGAATTTAAATTAAATGAAACAAAATTAGTTAAGCAAAAAGTAATTTTCTTAATCTCATCTAAATCAGGAAGTAACGCTATTTGAATTTCAATTCCGATAAGATTGTTGTCAACGTCGGCGTCCGTCGTAAAAGAAATTGTTTAAAATCTGATAATGTTCAAACAGCTTAAATCTTTTGAATAAGCGAATTCATATTTCTTTATGTAAATGAGACCACGGCCGTCCAAGACGTACTGTAGACTGTGGACGAGAAAATCAATACTCACTCTGTAACAAATGATCGTTTCTGTCAGTCGCTCCTTCACGCTTGATATTTTCGCGTAGTTGCTTCGTGATATTTTTGAATATCTCCCTGGACAAGGCGAGATTGTCCTTCTCATCGCTTCGACGTCTTCGAACAACATTTGTTCGATAATCTTCAGGAAAGCGCAACGGTTCTGCACAGATCAATTTCTTGCTTTAATACTAACATTTTCTTTACTTTTTTGTTTAGATTTTTAGACTTTAATTATACCTTGATACTTCCATTAATGTGTTCTAATTAAACTAAGATTACTTTATTTCAATTTTTTACCTAGTAATTGAACATCTCTTTCATATTTTTTTTGAATCATCTCCAAACTTTACTTAATACTACTTTCTAGTTCAGACATTAAAATAGTATAATAATTGAGTTTAAAAAAACAGTTTTTTTTTAATTTTAAGTAAAAAATAAGGTAAGGCTAAATCTAAAGTTTTCCTAGACTTACCTACAGCTTTCTTTAAACGATTGATTATGAATTTTTACTCTAAGTTTCCTGTCAAGACTTTGAATTTGTTAAATTTCGTCAAAAAGTTCAAACACTATAGAAACGATATCCGAAAAAACATTTTGAATAAAAACGGTTCGTTTATTATTACTTTTTATCTAAAATTTTTCAAACAAAACTTTATATGATATTCAATAGAAACTGAAAATATTGAACAATAACGTTAATACATTCACTACCGCATACTGCATAGTATTATAGGTATATTTGATTTCTATGAGTTGTGTAGAAACTCACTATCTACACTCAAATATTATTTAGGTAATGAAGTTAAATAATATCATAATAGTAAATACCACAAACACCAAAATATTATTACTCAGGTGTTTATTTATTTATTTATATCTTCTTCACACAACATTACAATGAATGGCGGACTGCTTTAAGGTATTCTCTGACAATCAACCATTAGGTAGTACAGAGAAATGCAGCAGTTTATGCGAAGCCAGAACATATTATTATTTAATAATATTTTGTTTGCAATTTTGTTTGACTTGTATTCATTTTAGTGGTCAGTATACATAAAGTATAATAATATTTACGTAGGGCGCCTCTCTGGCCTTCATAAGCCATTAACAATGCGTCTTTTACCCTTTTATCAAACGCCTGTCAAGCTGTTAGGACACAAATAGAACTGGCTGTTTTGTTTTCCAGAGTGCAGAGAAGCAAGAAAGAGGCAGGAAACAACGTTGACTTTCCTAATATCTATAGATTACCTTTGGAACCTTTTAGGTTTTTAGTTCTTTTGCTAATTCGTAAATTATTTAATTTTTTCATATTTTAATGTTATTATTGTATTGTTTATTTGTTTTTTTTTCTTTACTCTTTTAAGTTTATTATTATTATTTTGCATATAAATATCTATCATATGTATTAATTAAATAAATCCTTTTACTTTTCTTTTTTCAATTTGTAAACAGCATTGTAGGTTTTACTATATTGCAATGCACTATGCTGTTATGAGTAAATTGTAATTGGATTTTGGGACTCTTACTGTTACACTTATGAAGAAACAGGTGCCGTTTGGCACATTCAGATCCTGTCTCTATATATGTAAGTGATCCGATCGATACTGACCCATACTGATTTATTTTCCCGTACAGCCTTGTTGTTTTTGTTAGCAATAACCCTGGTAACTTTAACATGTCTGTAACTTATGTATCACATAATTTTGTGACCAACCAACATAATTACGTTGGTTTACTTTATTTCGTATACATAGTGTAAACGGAACACTCCCGAAATGCTGGCAAAAAGAAAATGTTCTTACAATTTTAATCGTTTTTGTTTTCGTGTTAATTATGCAACATCACCCTTGAGCAGTTGATACAATTCGTATTACATATAAAAAACAATCAAATCCTTACTTCTATGATATTATATTTTCTGCCCGCGATTTCGTACGCACAATCCCGTTTTCTCCTGTTCCCGTAGGATTTTCAGGACTTTTTTCTGTCATAAGAACCATCTCCTGACAATATTAAACACAAGACACAACAAATAAAAATCAGCCAAATCGGTCTAGCCGTTCTCAAGTTATGGCGTGACAACGGGTGGAACTTGTTTTATACCACCATCTGTCGGCGTTTTTCGCTCCGGATCTTTTACAACCTATATAATTAATTATAAATGTACTTATTACAGATAACGTTTATATAATCATTGCATTATAAATAATTAATTAACTTAATTATATTTATTGTACAAACTTCTACTTTAAAACTTTGTTCGACAAGTTCTGAATACCTGTGTGTTTAATTAAGAAGTTTTCAAAGTTCATTATAAACTTCACATAACCAGTGAATATATCTAAACGTGTATAATAAATATGAATTTTATGAATGCACATTAAAAACCAATATTCAATGTCGGTTCTTAGAATTTCATTTTGATTTATAGTTTAAAAATGAATAATTAATTCTGTTTAACATCTGATGCGATTATTGTAAATCATTTTAACATTTTTTTCATATAAAATTATAAAGTTTTAATGGTAAAGATGAGTTTTCGTAGAATCAGCGCTTACATTATTCAATTTGTCTTAAAACTATGTTAAAGATTTAGTAGATTAAAGATGGCTTAAAGGATTTTGAAATATTATTTTAAAGAAATATATTTAAAGTTAAATACTAACTAGATTTAAAAGTATTGAGTTTTATTCGAGTATTGCTCGTTACAATAGATATCATTCTTATTGCTTATATATACCTCTAGTTTACCCAAGATGACATACAAATTTAGTGTAGGTCTGTACCTCTACTAACGCCGATAAAAATGCCCAAAAAGAATCCATTATATACGTTACCCAATCCAGAAAAACTGACAATCAATCATCTACCAAAACATTCAAAATATTTATTTAACTTATTGAATTCTATATGTTACTTTCATTTTGGACAAGCAGTTGCTTCAATAAGACATTTAATTTCCGGACTAGCACTACATTTATTTCTGAAACCACGTAAATATTTGGCCACGTGTCTACATTGAGAAATAGGTATGTAATGCTGTGTCTATAAAATTCTGGAATGTTTTTAAATATTCAAAAGTTCATACGGGTATTGGTTATCTAGCGGACGATATCAATAAAGTATTGATGCAGTATCTGCGATGGTCGTGAATAGGTAATCGAGATTTGTGATGACAGTTTTTCGTGATTGGCTTTTGATTTCTTTAAAATGGTGTCAGCTAGTAGGTTTTGACTTGCGGTTGCGTTTACAAGCATCAATTTGTAGTTAATGCGATAATTCAAGTACCTGTCAATTTATTGTTAAAACACAAAGAAGAAGATATTTTTTGCAGTTTTAATTGAGATTTTTTCTAAAGGGAACATATTATAAAGATGTTTTGGAGATTAACATCAAGCTTGATTAGGTATGAACTTTTAAAACCTAATACGCAACAAGACATGGTCAATCTGACTGTTTAATTTTAGTGACCTCACAGATCTCTTTAAAATATTATGTTAAACTAAATTACCTATACTTAACAATAAAGAAATTAGTCACAATGGTGTCTAACCGAGGTTTTAGAATCACCCTCAGTGAGCAGTTGATCCTTGTAAAATTTTGTCATTGTATTGAAGGAATCCGAAGGTCAGGTGAAAGAGAATGAAAGTGTTGTACTGTACAAGTGTACAGCTGATGTATATTGTAGTGTTGTTTGTCGGCAATAGTGCAAGAACATGCTAGCTTGCTTTCTAGAACTCTTATTTATTTTTATTTGATTTATTTATCTCCTATATATGCTTTAATATGCTATGTGCATTTATTTATTAAGCTTTTAGTTTATCGATTGATATTATAATGACTGTGCTTTAGGCCTGTCCAAACACGATCCATGCTATGCGCTTGACACTAAGTGTATTTATTTTTTTACATTTATTTTTATATTTTATATAACTTATTTATTTTTATTGTGAAAAGCATTAGTGCTAACTAGATAGACGAAGGTATTTATAGTTTGAGTCGAAGGTACTTACCAGATGCAGTATGAATGCAGCATAACGCTAGAAACACGAAGTAGAGGCTGTCCCACTGCATATTAGAGACATCACAGGCGTAGGCGCATTACGCTCGCCGTTTACCTGCAAGAATACAAATGAATATTATGAAAACCATTTTTCTAGTCGTTTGTTTTGGTTTAACCATACTATTTGACGTTAAAGTACAACACTGTCTCCATCTCTACTTTTCCGACTAAAGGACCATAAATATTTGACACAGAACAAGCATTTTCACCCGACTGTCAAGCTTAGCAGACTATGGCAAACTTCTAATGTAGAATTTGATTTAAGGTCATTTATAGTTGGAATCAATCAATAGTGTGATAAATAAATAAGGCTAGTAAATAACGTTAGCAATAGCGGATTATATGCCAGTAAATTACCTATAATAAATTAGGTTAGATGTCTGTCGGTCCATGTAACATACTGATGCCAAACTAAATTGGGTTGACACGCTGTACAGATCCCAAAATGGATTTTTGTTAGTAAAACAGAAGAAAAAGTATTATTATTAGTTTCTCTATAAATTGTGAGTTATATCGCGTAACATAAAGTACATTTAACGTACTGACTGCAGTAGTTTCTGAGAAATTTCAATATAGATACTTAGGAAATGTTCCATTTGGTGGATAGCTAGTTTCAGCAACTATTACTTTCCAATAAATATTACCTAATATCCGTATCTGAAACGATTTAGACTTGTAAGTTAAACACTAGTTCCCCATTCCAACTTTCCTATTAAATCTAAATGGACTTTTTGAAGACCCATTTAGAATCTTAATGCGTAAGTTACCCAAATGTGGTGAGGTTATTGGGTTTGCCACAATTTATTGGATAGATTTCACGGTATTGCTTATGAGGCTGAGGATATCGGTTAGGAATGGCTTTGAATCGGCTTTCATTGTACTTATCAGAAGTAGTTAGTATCAAAGTGATTTCCAATTGGAACATTCGCAATACGAAGGAAAATCGACATTAAAGTCACGTTACGCTATCAAAAATATAGGAGCAATGTAATTAAGGTTCAACGATAATTATTCTGTCAAGAGATTTGCAACTAAAAATAGAAATTACTGATAAAGGTCCCTTGGGTAGAGCAAAGTTTAATTAGATAATGGTGAGAGGAAACACGTTTATTTTTGTTTAGTACGAATGCTACATTAAAGTCTTAGAGAAATACATGCATCTCGTTTCCACATACCCATAAACCACAAGTCTAGCAAAGCCCACGCAACAGTATTGTCTTAATAATTGAATTAAATACATGTGGGTATAACACTACTGCCCACTCCCAAGGGAAGCAGACATGATAATGAAGTTATATCACAAAATAGTTAACCAACTTAGATTACCTCAGATTTGTTCCTAAATAATTTAAATCAAGTTAATTGGTTCGTGCGTGTTTGTGAATAAGAAATGCTTCCGTTAGCTACGGCTAAAGTTTCAGGGTTGCGGTTTACGGCGGAGGCTGTAGTCGGCTTATAAAATTGTACCAGAGCAATTTTCATTTTATATCATGAGATACTGCGAGGTGTATGAGATATTAAGTAGGCACTCTACTAGCCGGAGGAGGTGCAGCCACAAGTTGTGGTCAGTGTTTAGATAGTTCAGTTATTGCGAGGTCTGGGGGCGCTTTCGTCAATATAAGGGTTAATGGACTTCGGTGGCTAGTTGTAGCCTAAACGTGTTTTGAAATAGTTTACGTTTCTCGGCTTAGATGTGAAAGGTAGCGTGTTGTGATTGGCTTTCGGTATGTTTCATGTTAGTTTTCTAGTTGGTGTGCGTTGAAAAAATAGATAGGTAGCGTGTTTTATTTCCAACATTCTGTGTGGATGTAATATACGCCATGCCTGATAGTGTCAAAAATTCTTCTTCAGACATAACATAACAAAACATCACGTCTTTCATCCCTGAAGGGGTAGGCAGAGTACTACAGTACTACTGGGTTCTTTAAAAAAAAACTGGTAGCACGGAGTCTGGAATGGTGTCCGCGGTATATGGCAATGGGCTCATCCCCTATTACATGGAACTAATAATATAAATACCTCTAGTGAAAAGTAGGTGCTACATTGTCCAGTGGCATTTAACTCTTATTATACTTTTTCACTATTTAGTTGTCGCCTTTATACATATATTTTTGACTTTACGCTCTCATCTTCTCCAACTGTGATGAGAATTCTTTACTGCACTATCGTGGTATCTTTATGAGCAATCGCTCTTCTCATCAAAGTCAGTTTTAGTGTTGAGATTGTGTTAAGTGTAGCTGTTCAAACTTCTTTACGAGATACCTCGAAAGTTTCTTAGAATAAGACTAGCAAAATTTAATATTCATATAGTTTTGTATAGCATAAGTTATTATTTAAGAAGCGAAAGTAAAGTATTGACTGCCTCGTTGGCCGAGTGGTTGCAAGTGCGACTGCCCGGCAAAGTCTCTCGGGTTCGATTCCCGGGTCAGACAAAGTATTACTCAGTTTTTAAAAAAAATTCAGTAGTAGCACGGTGTTTGGAATTGTGCCCGGTATATGGCAATAGGCTCATCCTATATTAAGCATTGGCACCTCTGCCTACCCCTTCGGGGATAAAGAGGCGTGATGTATTGTTATGTTCTTATATTATTTTATATCTATTAGTTTATTGATGTATTCATTTTTGGTATCTATTTTTATTTATTTGTGTATTATATTTTATATGGGCCACAGTTTGCCTCAAATAAAGGAACAGCAAAATAAACAATAGAACAAAATAAAGTATGTAACAGAAGCATTAACCCTCATGAAAGACAAATCATCAAATATCACAAGAAATGAAGAAGTAAATATGAATGTTTGAGTTGATAAATAACAAAGAATAAAGTTATAATGTATGCATCACACGGCCGAGATATATAATATAAAGGAGTAAACTCATTTACAATTCTCATATAGTGAATACTCAAGGAATCAGTCCCAAGTCTCGAGACTTGTGACAAAATTCCCGACTTGAAACTTGGAGATAGCCTGTAACATCAACTTTCATTGAGTTATCGAATTACTTAGGTACTAAAGAACAAGGACGTTTCTAACTGTATAAAATCTTTTTTGTATTCTTTCTTGATATCAGTATGAAAAATAAATTAGCGCTTGATGGCATTTGAATTGATGAATACATTTTAGATTCATTTCATTAGTTTTCGTGTAAGTCTTTGAATGTTATGTTCAGATCTACAATATTTGTAGGCTTACATAACTTAGTTTCAATTGTCTGATTTTCTGACTGCATGCTCGGCACGGTGCGGTGACTGGTCAACCGGCTGCCGCATACCGTGTATGGGGTTCAAATTCCGCATGGAGGAACTATTTGTGTTAATTATTGTGTTTTTGGCTTACTTATACTCATTACTCGACTAGTTTCAACCATGCTAGAGGTTCATATTCATGAGTAGCATTCCGCTACCCGTAACGCGGTACTAAATATATCAAATTATTATGTATGCATCAAAAATATCTACAATATTTACTTTAGCTGATAGATTAATTTAAATATATTATACAGAAATGATTAATCATTTATAAAACATGAATATCTAATACAGAAACGTTATATTTTCTGGAAACAATTTCGCTTGTGTCTAAATTATGAATAGTTGTAATATTTTCTTCCATTTCATTTGGTTTACCAGGAATAACGTAACAAGTCAATAGTTTTATACTTCACAGATAAAAAAGTCACGTAAATAATGCTTGGAAAATTGTTACACGAGACACGGATATTATATGAATAATTTTATCAAAGAAAATCAAAGTGGATTTGTAAAACTTTTTTCCAGAAAACTACTTATTAATTCAAGCGGTATGTTAAAACCAATAAAAGTGTATTTCATTCACGCATTGAAACTTAGGTACTGCTAGAATATTAGTGGAAAAAGCTTTAGAAGTACTATTTGAAGAATATCTAAGAAATAATGTAGCGAACGTGATATGCGAGCGGTTCATATGATATGTACATTTTCATTTTTCTCAAACGAAACGTGAGACGTAGACGAAGAACGGAGATTTTCGGAAATTATAAGATTTACTTTACTGTAAATACACATGACTGTTCACGAAGAACTTTTCTAGATATTTCTTTTATTTATTTAGAAGCTTAAATGCAAATAAAGAAGTTTCGTTGACAAAGGTGGGAACAAATACAAAAAGAGGATAGAAAAAATTGTAGATCAAACAAGCGCGTGCCGTTGAATCTTTGATCATAAAGAGCACACTTCCAAAAATGGTTTTAGGGAGTGTCGTTAAAATCCCTTTCAAGTGGGCTTATATAACTTACTGTCGGCAAAAGGTATATTAGAGTGCTTTTAGGTGCCTTTATAAAGTAAATGTTTAAGTAATTTCAACAGTTATACAATAAAACCGAATCAAAAAACGTTACCATTCCGCTTCTAAAAACTCTTTGCCCTAATTAGTCTTTGGGTAACAGAGAATATAGTTCCCTAAGATCGGAAAAGGAGGATCCTTCGACCAGGCAAGGCCATTGTGCCTGGCGGGCTTTCTGCCCAACAATTGTTTATTGGGATTTTCTATCCATTCCATGTTAATTCACATGTAAATTTTACATGTGCAATGTAGAATTTTTGTGACGTCATCCGTTGACATGTGCCGCTACAAGTCCAATAAAGCAGTGTAGTTGTAATTAAAATACATAGAATTACCTTCATTAGGTACATTATTTAATATTTCTCGCTCTGGCAACACTGTGAGCCGGTCGTAATAGAAACTGTCTCCTACGATTTTTAATATAATTTAATTAATTAAATGGTTAAATCGTAATAATTTATTGTAATTTAGTAAAATATAGTAATCAAGTGTTATAAACAGTGTAATTCATGAACTTCTACGGTGTAATTGTAAAAATAAATGTTATTTGTGATACCGTCTGACAACCTGTCAAAGGAACAACGACTACGGTGGATTTGAAATTACAAAAACCGGGGGAGTATTGTATTTTTCTTCCATTTATTATTGTTATAACATAGTTAACGGTGTACAGTGTGGCTATAATTGGAATTCAAACACCACTTACAAGTCTACTCTACTCAAGTCTTTGAG